TTAAACCATTGGATATATATCATCATCATCATCAAAGCCGTTTCCCTACTATTTAAGATCGGTTATACGAATCCTGGTCCGTCATTCTGCTCTATCAAGGGTCATACCCTCAGTGAGGCCATAAGTCCCCATATCTTTTCTTATTACTTCCAACCATGTCCTTTTGGGCCTATCCCTTGTCTTTTTGAGCATTCTATTTGAACAAACTTGCACATCATAACAGGAGCTATATTGGGTCTGCACTGCACATATCCAGCCCACCTAAGTATACTTTCTCTCTTCTTATAGCCTATTGGAGCCACACCTAAGTTCTCCTGAATGTATTCATTTTGAATTCTATCCCTTTTAGTCTTGCCACTCATCCATCTTAACATCCTCATCTCAGCTAAACTCATCTTATGGGTATGTTGTTTCTTAACCACCCAGCATTCCACCCCATAAAGCAAAGCTGGTCTCATAGTTGTCCTATAGAACTTCCCCTTCAGCTTCATTGGTATGTGGCAATCACATAAAACTCTATTATTACTAAAGTTGAATTCCATATACTGTCTTAATCAGGCTAATTTTAAACCTTTAGATTCTAGAGCATTCCTCCAAAGTTCTTTGTGTCGACACTATTTTGGGTCTCATTGCTTTAAACTATGTCATCCGATCCTTGAAAAAAAGTTCCAAACCTGAAATTCTATCAAACAGTTTCAGGCTAGTTAGGAGTGAAGGGGCTTCAGCCATGGAGTCTGCTGTGCCAGTTTAGGCTACTTAAGGGTGAATTGGCACTCTCTCTCTATCTTGTCAAGTTCTACCATCTCTGAACATTAATGGATGCATCTCGTCTGTAGTTTTCAAGATTTTATTGTTGCGATTCATTGTCTTGATTAATGAATTGTTGAAAGCATTGTGAATATTGAAAATCAGGTAAATCTAATAGCCTAGTGAAAATCATGTGCATTAATTCCTATTGATGCCTATCCTTAGAGCTTTGATATGCTTTAGTGATTATTGGGGACCTTGAAGTATATAGCTGTGTTCCATCAGTTAATGGACCAAGTTACCCAATATCCACACGCACACACACACTGCATTGTTTCTATATTTCACAGCATGGATTTTCGTTTGTATTTTTCTTTTGTTTTGTTTAGGTCAGCAAATTGTATTATCTCTTAATTGGAATTGTAGATTTCATTTAGAAAAATGTAAAAGATACTCTAAATATGTGTGGAAATTTAAAGAAAACATTGTGTGGAAGTATGACCTACACGTTTTACAAACAAACATACACATTTTAACTCCATTCTTTTGGCCAGTGATATTATGAACCTTTTTAAAACATGTTTTACAGAGAAACTTTATGCATAGTTTATCTCCAGTCCGTAGTCCATCCAAATTATGAACCTTCTATGTCTAATGTTTCGTTTCTCTTACATTTTGTCTTCATTCCCCCTGTATGCAACTAAGGATATGATTGAAGTGGGGAGCTTTATAAGGTGAGACGCACAGAAAGTATGGGCTTGTCCTGAACTTCATACGGAGTGTTATATGTAATTGTGGCTTTCTTTCTCTTTGGATTTGAACAGTTCAACTTCTATTTTTTGAGCTGTTTACTTTTTCTAGTTTCATGATGGCTATTTAGACTGCAAGTTTGCCATAATTTTAACTACTTTTTTATTTCTTTTCAAGTTCTCCAGACTTTCCTAGTTGAAGCTTCCCATAAAACAATGATTTTGTAGTTTTCTTTAGACCCTTTCTACTGGGGATGATTTTGTACTTGGGGCTTGAATCGGACGGCTAGCTGTAATTCCATTGTTAGAAATTGTTGATTTTATTTTTAAAATTTGATTACTTGGGCTTCCTTTTTTGAGACATGCACTGTGTGTTAGGACTCCAACCTACAGGATTTGATAAATACTGCCATAATATGATTGCCAGCCACCATATGGAATCTTCTACTTTTCCCTTTTTTTCTATTGATTGCTAACCTCTAAATGGACTCGAGAAAACCTTCCTGAATACTTATCTATGAGCATGCAACTTCCTTGTAATGATCGAATGATCAAGACAGTAATTAGGCAATAATTATGGACTCTTTCATTTTCTGACCATATAGAACCAAGCTGAATCCTTCACTTGTATTTGTGACAATGGTTTGATTTTACATTGGTGTCCGTACAGGCATCTATTGGATATTTTCTGTCAGACCTCGGGATGATCCTTTGGCTCTACCCAACTTTAGGTGGTAAAGAGTACGTAAGTATCTGAGTTCACAGAGATGATGAAATGTAAGTAACCGCGAGGGTCTATTGCCAATGCAATTCCTCTTGCTTACCCAATACTTTACTCAGGTCCTACATCACGGGCTGTCCATGTTCTCTATCATTCTCTCTCTTGTTAGTGGTCAAGGGCAGATATACATACTCATGGTTCTCTTTTCTGAGAGTACTACTCCCTTTGTGAATTTGAGATGGTACTTCACAATTACTAAGCTATTATATTTCTATCCTGCTAAGTGATGTTGGTTGTTCTCAAATTGTTTCACTATTGCTGCAGGTACTTGGATGTTGCAGGACAGAAAAGTTTGAAACTTTATCTTTGGAATGGCTTTGCGTTATTCCTTGGGTGGCTGGTAAAATACTAATAATCGTTCCTGGATTTGCTTTTGTTTCTTTTAACTCCCTATGACCATATATCTCAAGGGTGTCACATTATATTCCCACTATGAATATAGTTCTGCCCTTCGTGACCTCAAATACAGCACCAGAAGTTACAGCCCAGTGAAATTTACTTTAGTCCAGTGATGTATGGAAAATTGTATTCCGGTATAGAGGTATACTAGGGCCCATCAATGGGATCGTGTCTCGTTAGGGTTTTCGCCACTTTTTCCATCACCATCTATTATTTCTATTGAACAATAATGACCCAATGAACTACATAAACCATAATCAATTGGTTTGGATAAAAAATATGGATTGGTATCATTAGAGGTTCAGTTGGGGCATGGTCTTGTTAGCTTATGTAGTTCATGATTGAACTTCATCCATGCAGCTCACAATCTGCTTGTCCTTTCAGGTTTGTAGGATTCTTCTGTTTGTTTTCTTCTTCTGGCACATGTACATTCATTTTGATCAGGTTTGCCTCTACTTTGAAATTCAGTTGCATTGCTGGGCTATGTATTTGACATGGAGCTTTATCATGTGTTCCTCACGTCATGATTGACTGTGCAACGCAATTGCAGGTCACATGACATAGGAATGCTCTAAAATGCTAATCTATAAGTAACAGAAGCTGAATTAGCCTCAAATAATCATAGTAATTCATTCATTTAATTGGAATCTCGTCTTTGATTTATGGCACGATCTCTCTTTCCCTCTCTCAAACACACTTGCTACTCTTGCCTAAGAAATGCAAAGACAAGTTTTGTTCATCTTGGTAAATGGGGTTAATGCTAATGTTTGATTTTGAGAGAGGTTCCATTTTCTTCTAAAATGAATCCTCCAGGGAACCTTTGCAGTTCTTTTTTATTTTCATTATCAAACCAATGTACTGAATACTTTTAGTCAAAACTGTTATTGCTAAAAGATTTCTCACTTGTTTTGTGAGATTTCTCTCATTCTTACTTTCTTCTTGCAGGTAAAAAAGATCTCCTCTCTTGGTTTCTATAGCCTTCATACAGTGCCCCCCATTTTAGCTTTGATGAATGTTTTCTGGTTTTGGAAGATCCTCAAGGGCTTAATAAAAACCATTTCCAAATCAAGGCATCAGAGCTGATCTGAAAAGTGGAAAATCCATTTCGTTTGTATCGGTGATTCCATCCATTTAACATGCCTTTTGGCTTTTGGAATTCCAATAATATTGGCACTGTGAATATGATCATGCAGAGAGTAGTTTTTTTTTTATTGAAACCGTGCAGAGAGTAGTTGTTTCTAGGAGAAAAGAAAACGACTGAGAAAAAAGAATAGGAGAAAAAATTCCGACGCTGTGAACTGCAGCAAGATCAAGAGATTTCGAGCTTGCTATTGAGAGCTCCATAGCTCTAGGGGTGTGTGTAGGTGTGTGCTCCTTTTTTGGGTTAAAAACTCGGTTGGTGTGCGGCTAAGCTGTACTCTTAATATTGCCTGAATTTTGTTTTAGAAAATAGAAAGATTGGTCATTCCCTTTCAGATTCCACCCATCCCTAAAATATGGGATTTGGGGATTAGAAAATGGTGCATGTCTAATGGATCTAGCGTCCATTGAAATGGGCAGTCCACATCAGTTGCTGATATAGTAGTTATAAAGTGAAAACATTTTTTTGTATTCCATGTCTCTTGTTTTCTTCTTTTTCTCTCCCCCAAAAAAAATCTTGGGGTCAATATAATGGATTTGCAAAAAAATTTAACGAAGAGGTTGATATGATGTTGCAACTTTATGGTATTGAAGTTATAGACACCTCTAAAGTTATCTAGAAGAGAGTATTTTGACGTTGGAGAACCTTCCGATTGATTATCTCGACTTCAAGAATTTGTGGATACAAAGGAAAAAAGAATTCAAAGTGCTAAAAATATTGCTTCTTATATAACAAGTTATATGTACTGTTTATTTCTTAGATTTTCAAGTGTATATAGATATGTAAGATTTATGAAATTTTAAATTTCATAACTCGGAATAAAAAATAGATTTTTAAGTCACCGCCAGGTTTATGACATCTCCAAACAAATTTTATTGGTGTGCCTTATTTCTATGTTGAATGAATGGAGGATGCCATTTGCAAACGTCAAACCATTTTTGAGTCGTTAGTCCCTTTTTATGGATTTGGAGGTTGCGTTGTATGTGGCTGGGGCCTCACCAAAGACTTTTTTGCTTGACATTGAGAATGGGATGGTCCAGGGGTATTTGTTATGGAATCCTTAGCTTTCCAATATGTTATCTATTTCCTCTATCCGAAAGCAAAGTCAGTGGAAGGACATTTAAGGGGTGTTTTAGGAAAAGAAAATAGGGAGTCTTCGAGAAGAGGTGAATAAAAGTCTGGCTATACTTTTAAATTCTGAGTGGAATGGTTGTTAGACATCCTTTTCACGAAGTAGGGCAAAAACAGAAAAGGTGGCGTAGACGATGTTTGGAGCATTCAAATTGGTTGGTGAAATGAGAGCGAGAGAGAGAGAGAGCATTCAAATTTGTCGGTGAAATGAGAGCGAGAGAGAGCATTCAAATTGGTCGGTGAAATATAAAGAAAGAGCGTAGGTATTTAGGAAACTTGAAACCTAGTGCTATTTCTTTCTTTCTAAAGTTGATGGAATTTTACTCTTCTTCCTCTTAGATACAAGGGAAGATATTTTAAGGGATAGTATACAATGTGATTATTTACTTTTGATACAAGGTGGTCAGATATTTTAAGGGATAGTATACAATGTGATTATTTACTTTTGATACAAGGTGGTCACAGTTGTTTGTAACCATCCGATATGAAATTTGATAGCTATCACAAATTTCAAGAGAATTTCTTTTGAAGTTTGGTCATTGGGATAAATAAAGTCATCCAATTTCACATGCAAGATTCAAGAAGATGAATTGTGATCACCTTAAATAATCTCATTGTATTTTTGTTTGGGTAAATGATCTCATTGTATACTTTTCTATATTTTAAGGGAAAAGTTTATATAATGCTTAGGCTCTAAACAATCAAATTAGAGTCTACATCAAAACTTTCGCTAGAAGAGGTTGTTTTGATACTCGAATATCATCAAATTGACCATCTTGACATCAAGATGTATGGACATGAGAAAAAATTGGATTTCAAGTTTTAAAAATAGTGCATCTTGTAATGTATTTTGGGACTGTCAATTTTCGAGATTTTCAAGTTTTCATAGATCGGATCGATCTACAATATTTTTGAAGCTTTAAAGTTTATAGCTAAAGATGAAAATATAATTTGAGGCTATCACAAAACTTTTCAGCATTGAAACCATATTTCTCGACACTATTTGAATGTAGGCTCAAATTTCATTGGTTAGAGCCCCCGGCTCTATACAAACCGCACCCATATTGGTTGATAGAGAGAATTTTTCTCATTCTGTAATTCCGCGTTGGAGTACGGACGTTAAGTCGGCACAATACGCAATTTCATCTCCTTTAAAACATTTTGATAGATAAAGAAAGAGCGTAGGTATTAAGGAAACTTGAAACCAACCTAGTGCTATTTCTTTCTTTCTTTCTGAAGTTGAGTTCCATTCCATTCCATTTGCTTATATTATATTATGTTTTGTTGTGGATTAAGTTCCTTCTAGCAAGTCACTTGTGCACACCCAAACTAAACCGTCAAACCCCTTTTTTATTATTTACACAACACTACTAATTCCAAACTAACACAAACAAAACGGAGAGAGTGGAAAAGGAGCTGCACCCCAGCTATAGGTACGTACGTGTTGCCGTGTGGTGCAAAGAGAGAGAGAGTACACACGCCACATTTATTTTGAGGATGTCGGATACACACGCGAACCCGACACGCTTCTTTTAAGGACGTCCCACTTATCGCACTCTTTTATTTATACTTCATCCTTATTTGCCAATAGGGGAGTTTTCCGGGTTGGAAGGTTTTTTTTTTTTTCTCTTCTTTTGAGTGGGTGACATATATTTGCACAAGAGTGGTGGTCCGATGCATTCGTAACTGTAGAGGTAAAGTGCACTTTCAAATTTTATCACGATATGTAATTTTGATTGATGTAGAATATTCTCATGATTATTTCGAAACTTATTTTTATATTTAATTATAAAATTTTAAATTTAAAAAATAGTCAAAATCAGGTAGAAAAAATCTTAAAAATAAATGGTGTAGATAATAAGTCGTAAAATAACGAGACTTAAAATCTTTTTTTTTTTTAATCGTATATCTCATCTCATGATGAGGGGATCAATCTAAAAGTTTTTCAAGTTTAAAACTACCTTTTGTTTTTACTATGGATTTTTGAGGTGCGATATGGTTGCATCCTTATATAAACTTTTTCCATTACAAAAACCTGCAACTGCCCAACAAACAGTTCCGCTACAAATTTGCGCTCATTTCGATTCAGAGCCATGTACTCCTAGATGACCGTTACACTAAATCTGCCTTCAATTTTTTTTTTTTCCAATTAAAAAAAAGAAAAAAAGAAAGAGAGGCTGCCCACTTTTCTCCCTCCTCTTGCATGTTTGTTTTGTTTGCAGAGAGATTGAGACTCGGAGATATGGCAAGGAATTTTTGTTTTTTTTAAAAAAAAAAAAAAAATATGAATGAAAGAGGAATAAGTAGCGATGATAGATGAATGATGTCGATGGCGGTGATGATGCGGAGAAGATTGGGTGCTCTACTCTTTAGAGAAGTGAATAAGGGTGGTGGGTGGGGATCGATCCCTGCTGTTGTGACCGGGACAAGCAGCTATTTTTCCTGGCAGGGGCAGCCGCGGCGGCCATGGTCGCTTCTCTTCTCGACTGCAACAGCAGCCGTCCCCAGCGGTAGCTGTGGTGAAAATAATAGAAGTAATGGTGAGAAAGGAAAAGAAGGAGGGGGAATATCTGTTGAGGAGGCGAAGAAGCTGTTGAGATTGGTGAATGTGGAGGCGTTGAAAAGGAAATTAATTGGATTGGAGGGTGGAGAGAGAGAGGTGATTGCTTACTCAGAGCTGCTGGAGGTGAGCAAGAGCATGGGGGTTGCCAGATCAGAGGATGAGGCCGCTGCCTTTGCCAAGGTACTCGATGAGGCTGGCGTCATCCTCCTCTTCAGAGACAAGGTCTATCTCCATCCTGATAAGGTACCTCTCCTATTCTCTCATTCACTCCCTTCATTTATCGTCTTTTTTTTTTTCCCCTTTCTTTTACGTCTTCGTTGCTTTCCTTTCTTCGGTTTGATGCCTAGCATTTGGAAATCAGGGTTTTGGGGCTATTCAAACTTCCTTTTTCCTTTTCTTTTCTTTCCCATTCACAAGAAGGTTTTGGGAATCTGTGAAACCCTTTTGTTCGCCATAACCTATTTTAGCCAATTTGGGGTTCATGGAGGGTTTATTTTCTCTAGTTTCTATCACTTTCCTACTTTTCAAGGATTTTCTCGACTTTCATGGCCTGCTATCGTCTTAATCCTTCTGTCAAATGTACCCTATCATTGTTTTTCTGGCAACCAAAACCATCATGATGTCACAATATGCTTGGTGTTGTCTCTCCCTCCCGAATTTAATGATTTTCTCATGCTTCATAGTGTCACAATATGCTTGATGTTATTCCTCTCGCGTAGTTGCAATGATTTTCAAAAGGATACCTAAGGTTTCTGGATACCATCCATAACCAATGACAGTGACGGTGACTGTTAGTGTTGTTAAATGCCCGAGATTATAGATCTCAATACACCCTCAATAACCAAAGACGGTGAACGAGGCATGTTGCTAAATGTACAAACTTGTAATAAGCCATAGTAACCTTGGGACTTACGGTCATTATGTGAGGGATTTCATTTGTGGCTTCCCAATTTGAATCCATCATTGGAGGCTTATTTGATTGCATAGTCTTTGTCAGTTTTCAGAGAAATGGGATTTGAAATTGAGGTTTGAGGAGAATTGACAATCTAATACAAAATTGGCTGCTGCCTCAGGTTGTGGATCTTGTGACAAGGGCTGTGCCTCTCGCTTTAACGCCAGAGAATGACCCGAGGAGGGAAGAGCTTAATAATCTTCTAAAGAAGAAGGAAGAGATTGACATGCTCGCCCACACCCAAGTTCGACGCATCTTATGGACAGGCTTGGGCATCTTCGTATTCCAGGTTGGGCTCTTCTTTCGCTTGACATTTTGGGAGTTCTCTTGGGATGTCATGGAACCCATTGCCTTCTTCACCACCACGACTGGTCTCATCATAGGATATGGCTACTTCCTCTTCACATCCAAGGACCCCACATACCAAGACCTCATGAAGAGGCTCTTCCTTCAAAGACAGAGGAAACTCTTCAAGAAGCAGAACTTTGACTTAAATCGGTTCATGGAATTAAAGAAGCAGTGCAAGTGTCCCCTAGACTCTATTAGGGAGCTAGAAGATACAATACGTCATTGACATTCTCTCTTGTTGCAACATTTCCATTCCATCCCTCTAATGTCACCAGGCTATAATATTCGGATACCCTGGCTTCTAATGTGATTTTGTGACTTTTTTCTCTTATTCTTTCTTTCCCCTTAGATTTGAGTGTAGCAGGAAAGCAATCACACATATGGCTGTTGAGATGAGCTATAATTTCAACAAAAGGACACCATTCTTGTTGACTAACTCAGTATCGGTTTCTAGCTTGTGTATGGATAGAGGGTAATTGAATGTATCAATGGCAACTAAGAAGTAATGGATGGTTGCATTTTGTAGCTTGATCATCTGAGTAATTGTAATAAATAGGTTGAGGGCGTGGTATTTGATAGAGCAGAATGGCAAATCAGGATTCGTGTAGCCAACCCCAATTAATTGGAAAAAGGCTATGATGATGATGATGATAATGATGAAGGCTGGGTAGATGGGCTCTTGGTTTGCTTTATTCTCTTGCAGCTTGTGATCGGCTCTGCTCCCATGAATTTTCATTTGGAGAGCATATAACTGCAATTAGCAGTTGGAAAAGACTAATATTTATGGTTCACTTATCATGTATCTCTATGCACATTTGTTTGTATGGAGTGACCTTGTGTAGCAAGTAGCTGCTATCACTAATATCTGCATTTTGAAATTTTTATAGTTTTCGCATAAATTGGCCAAGTCATATCTACCTTTGGCTGGCTTCTCCTCATCCTGCCTCCCCCACTCTTTTCTCTTTTTTCTTTTAAGGAATTAATTGCTCTCATAATTTAGGAAAAAAAAACTATCTATTTGAGAATGCCGGTTGTGCACCAATTTATTCAATCACAGCATTTTTTTGTAGCAAGTCATACCGTTTGAAAGCTTAGTGAGATACTGTACACTCCTTTTTTTTTTCTGTAATTGAAAATGAGAGACTCTACCATATTAAGGTAATCACTTAATTACAAATAAGTTATGCCCCCTGTGCAAATTGGGGTAGCATGTACAAACTGAAGACAAAAATGAAAGCTAAGTTGCAGGGTATGAAGCCCCGTCTGTGGGCAATATTGTTACGAATTTTGGAGCCAAAGCAACCTCAGCTAACCAGATCTGCTGCTGCGTTTCATTCCTTTTCTAAATATGTTCCTCACTTTCTGATTTGTCCTTTACTACACATTTCCTTTTTTCACAACTGACATACTCTATATCTAGTCTATAGGTTAAAGAGGTCCCTCTCTTTCCCCTTGTTTCTCTCGCCTCAAATTTTTTGGGGTTTTCCCAAGTGTACATTCTGGCTGTGTTCGCCACAATTCTGCAATGTGGTCGTACATTTGTAATTTGTATATCTGTTACAGTTTTAATATAATGTAAATAGTCCATTTTATCCAAAAAAGAAAAGATGCTAGTAGTTGGTGGCAGAGATGCTGTTCTCTTTTTTTTTGTTTTTCCTTATTGGTACTTTGGTAGTAATTATGCTTTGAATATGTTCTTATATCACTGCCACAGAGGTGGTATGGTTCCTTACTTTGGCCATAGAAGACCGACTTCACATCTACTCAGATGACCGCAGCTTATATGGTTCTGTGCTATTCAGTGAAGTTACCTGAAATCTAGAAGGGGAATAATGAGGACACAAATGTCATTCTGCCTGGTTTGATTAGAAGCCATACCCCATAGAGCTTGACAGAATTGCTTTCATTGATTACTTTTGAAAATGTTATTGTGATTTTAACTGATTAGAGTCCATATGGATTTGACCAATCTTTACTCCTTTTTGATCTCATGATGTTACATTGCTGCCAGCAGAAATGATTGGTCCTGACCAGGAATTTTCATAGATTGTTCGGCTGGTTGACATTGCCAAAGATAACATAGTTCTAAATTGCTTGAGTTGATCTGAGTTCCAGAAAATGGCTTAAAGAAACCAAAGAACAAAAAGATAAATGAGAAGAACAAAACGTCTTCTTTCCTCATGGAAAAGTACGACTTGTTATGGGATTCTGTTTTGCATGTTAAGTTGGCCTCTTCGCTCGAGACCAGGGTACCTTTCAGATTTAAAAGGAGCTCATCATTGAAATGTCTATCCTACTTTATTGATTGCTAGCCTGGATATGGTTCTTTCAGTAATTATTGCTCCATACCATTCGAATGAAGAAAAGATTGCTGCTATTATGGTGTTGAAGTTCAATGGTTGGGAGATGGAAACATCCAATTTTCTTCTAGAGGCCTAGTATTATTCAAGGTTTAAGATCCGGATCGGAGTCGTTTGGGGCGACCGGTTCCCAGTTATGTTAGAGAGCCGGCCAGAACAGGCCCCACTTTTTTTTATATATTTTTATTTTTTTTAATTTTGTAATGATTGCTTTTGGTAGACCAGATTGTCGATTAGGATCGTTGATCCACCGATCCAGATTGTAAATCCTGATAATCAATCGACGAACCATGTTTTAAAACCTTGGAATTATTATTGTTTAGAACGCACTGGCTAAGCAAGGAGCTTCTGTGGCTTTGCCCTAATCTTTATTGGAATGAGAACTTGCCAATTCTTTGTAATTAGCGAAGGTGTTTAGTAACTCTGTGTGGTCCATGTAATTTCACCTGTATTGTTTTGTTTTGCCACTCTCTCTGTGGTTTTTTGAGCCCCTGGGTTGGACAGTTTGTGTATACTGTATACTTGACTAGTTCTCTTGATACGAGGTTAACAGTTTCAAAAAAATTTATTGTGTAGAAAATTGGTTTGCCACTTTTAGTGATCAATGAATTATGATACAAGAAATGGACACATCAAGGAAAGGATGCCCATCTGCATGTTACTATAAGTATGTCAAGACATCAATTCCTTCACGACAATCCTTGGTTTGCTCAAGATGTCTGTCTTTGTATTGACAGTCAAATCTCATCTGGGCATCCAAGCTTTCAATGGCGGAATGCATATCTGCTAATTTGGGATGGTTTAGATCCCCAGCAACAAAGATATGGACTTGTTTCTCCACCTCAATCCAGCTGCATCCTGGTCTCTTCTTCAATCCCTTCTCCTTTATTGCATCCCTAACCTGACGCATTTCTTCCCATCTCCCTGCCTCTGCATACATGTTCGACATCATCACATAATTCCCAACATTCCCAGGCTCCAACTTGAACAGCTTCTCTGCCACTGCCTTCCCGACATCGGTTTTCCCATGAATCCTACAGGCATGAAGGAGAGCTCCCAAAACTGCACCATCAAGTAGTTTCTTGTTCATCATCATGCCGCTCCTCACAAGCTTCTCTGCATCTTCAACCCTGCCATGGCGGCCGAGCAGGTCCACAATGCAGGCATAATGGTCCTCACTTGGCTGTATGCCGTACTTTGATCCCATGGTCTTTAAGTAGCCCAAACCTTTGTCTAGCAGCCCGGTGTGGCTGCACGCCGATAGCAAATGCACGAACGTCACCTTGTCTGGTCGCAGTCCTGATTTCACCATCCCCTCAAAAGCAGAGAAGGCCTTCTCTGGAAACCCATGCATCCCATAAGCCATGATCATGGAGTTCCAGAGAGCGGCGTCTCTGTGGGTAGCACCATCGAATATGATGCATGAGTGTTGTAAACTCGCACACTTGGCATACATATCCAACAGAGCGCTCAAAACAAAGGCGTCCGTGGTGAATCCATGTCGGATGATGTAGGCATGAAGCCCTCTTCCACTCCCTAACATCCCACTTCTTGAACAGGCAGAGAGGGTGGTGGATAAGGTGAACTCGTTGGGCTTCATTCCCCTCGTCATCATCATCCGAGAGAAGAGGGAGAGCACATCTAAGTATGAACCCATGTTGGCGCACCCAACCAGCATGGCCGTCCAATGGACAATGTTGGAGCGGTCATGGGGGATCCTGTCGAATAAGAGATGAGCTGCTTCAGCATGGTCGCATTTGAAGTAGGCGCTTAACATGGCAGATGCAACGTGGGGATCACAGGTGAGGCTCATCTTGACGACACATGCATGAATGCGTTGGGTGTGAGAGAGAGAAGAGAGCTTGGCGCATGCCTTGAGGACGAGAGGGAACACGAATTTGTTGGGTTGCGGACCAGAGGCACGCATTTGGTCATACAATTCGAGGACTTGGTTGTGGTTGCCGTCCCTCAGATGAGCTCGGAGGAGCAGACAGTAGGAGTATGCATCGTCATCGCTTTTGGTCTTTTGGACAAGTGTTGCTGTTGTTGCGTTGTGGAGATGGTTGCAGAGTCGGAGGGTGAATCTATGTGGTATTATTATGAATGCCACCATCACCAACCGCCTTGCTTGTATGCTATGGTGTGCCGTTGTTTCCTTTTTAGCTGCCTACCAGGACCGACTATCTCTCTGTTATATTTTGATGGATTTGTCACAGGTGACAAGTGTGTTATGGGAACCGATCCAATTGGTTTTCCATTTCGACTGCCACTCAACCATCTGATATCAACAAGGAAGGACGTGTTGTTCATTCGACTACAGTTGCTAGGGGTGTCATCAAACCCAATGGCTCAAAAATTGAACATCAAGGCAAGGAATCATACACAGGATATATGTCCTTATTTTTACGTCTACAATATCCTTTCCGGACTTATGAGTCAGGACTAAGAAAAATAAAATCAGCTTTTTGCTTATGCAGGAGTTCCACGGTGAAAACTCGTTTGATTTCAATTTGAAAAGCCCAAATTCAAGATTTGCTCATCCCTAAAATGAGTCAAAATTAGAATATGCGTATTTCAGGAAAAAAAAAAAGAAAAGAAAGGGAATATACATATGCAAGCTTTTCTATATTCACGGTTTCGTTAGGCTTACCTCTCTCTCTCTCTCTCTCTCTCTCCTCCCTATTCTCTCCGCCATTACAAGCAGATCCAGCTGCCCTCTCCATTGCAAGTACCAAGGGAAGCTACAAAGGGCATAAAGTTGATCTGTCGTTGTTCCCTCAACATTTTCGGTTTGTTTTCTGCAAAGTAGCCAACCTCCCTACCCTTCACTTCTTCACTCGATTATCTTTGCATACCTCAGGTATGTGAATCGACACTTTAAATTATTTTTTTTCCCTCTTTTCCTGAACTTTGCCTCACGGTCTTAGAATCATCCATTTCTACTTTGTGGGTTCTTTGATCTCTATACTCGAAAAGAAAAGACTTATTTATCTTTGTGATTTTTGGAGATTTGGGAGCATTTTCTTAGTCTTTTGGATGATTTATGTGATTTGTTTATTAATAGCCGTTTTTTGGCTTATCTATATGATTTATAGTTGCTTTTTTGCTGTTCATGTATGGTTTCTGTTGGCTTATTTAGGGCTGTTCTTTTTGCTGACCTATGAGATTTTTTTATTTTGAATGTTTTTGAAAGGTTTTGTTATTTTGTGGGTTCTTATCTTATAGTTTTTTGGCAGTTTATTTTTTGCTGTTTTTTGTCTGATTATGGCCTTTTTTTTTGGCTGATTTATGCTATTTGTTTATTTATGGCTGCTTTGTGAGATTTGTTTATTTGGAGATTCTTGCCTGTTTTTTTTTATTTTGTTGCTTCTTTAGTTGCCATGTTTATTTATGTGATTTGTTTAGGAGGTATATTTGGGGCGATTTTGTTTGCTTGATTTCTAAAGTTTTTAGACATTGACATTGGGTGGGTTTTTCTGAGTCGGAGGATATCAGAGTTTCGGCTAGTTTTGGATATGCATATTCTTTTTTTCTGAAGATAAAAAAATAACATTTCACTACATTTTTATTAATTTTGTTTGTTGCTTCTGATGGCAATGCCTAAACTGTTCACATTTTGGATCTCAACATGATTTTCATTAAGTTTGAGTCTATTCCATTACCTTACCTTCATTTGGATGGTGGTTTTGTTCTTCTCTTGGAGTCGGAAATGTCTTGAAGTTTACTCATGCAAGTCTGAAATGTCTTCAACTTTGTTGATTCTATTTGGAACTTCCATTTTTTTGATCTTCAGATTTCATCAATATTCTCTCTCTTTAAAAGAGGTTGTGTGTATATTGGAATGAAGGGCTCTCAAGTTTGCTATGGACATCATGACAGAGCTAAATACTTGTGGATCATATATGGAGATATATAATACTCCTTAATCAAACCTAATTTTTTATTTGAAGGGATGTGGAGGATGACTGAGCCTAGTTGGGAGAACTAAGTTCAGGTAATTTTTTTAAAAAAATGGATGCAATGTGTCTATCCCATGAGTTAGTATTAGTAGTTAATTTTTATAATTTGCATGTGCACTGGCAAATAAAATATTAGGAAATAAATAAAATTTTTATAATTTGCATGTACAACATATTAGGAAATGAGAACATTAGAAATCACCAATTTAGCAAGAGAAGAACCCAATTTGACAAGGGAATCCGCCATGCCATTTACCGCCCTAAAGACTTGAACAAAGGAAAGGGATAAAAGTCTAGAGAGATTATAATAATCCTAAACTTTAAAAAAAAAAAAACTTTTAATACATGATGATTCGTTTGAACATGATGGTCCTTAGGGACCATCGCTACTTTTAAAAGCTTTTGGTTTAAAAGCTTTGATGATTCTTTGCTCTTGCCACCTCCACTAAAAGACGTGGGCTTTAGGCGTTTAAAGCGTAAGCTAACGCTTACACCTGTAACGTAATAAAAGAATAAAATAATATGTTAGTAGAACTTAAATTCAGAGAGGTGAGGAGTCCTACCTTAGAAAACTTATGAGATTTTTCTTTCTTTGGTCGAAATACAGTGAACTCCTCTCTCTAGCCGAATTTTATCGGAAGCTCCCTCTCAAATATTTTATGTGTAAGTGACATCATCTTCTTAAAATATAGTTTGTTTTTAATAAAAAGTGATATTTTCATCCAGGATTTTTATTTTATAAGTTTTGTGTGTAAGTGATTTCATTTTCTTGAAAAATAATCAGTTCTTTTTAAAAATGAAATGAAATAATTACTTCTGCTTATTATTATGAATTTTAGGCGCGATAAATTTTATGCGCAAGCGACCTCATTAATTTGAAAAATAATCCTTTTAATAAAATTGTGACATTTTATCTATGTTAGAAATTTTAAATGTTGTAAATTATTAAGAATAAATTTATTTGTTTTTCTTATCTATTGTTAGAAAATTTTAAATACTGTAAAATTATTAGAAATAACTGTGATATTTCTGCTGGTAGTAAAATTGTGAAATTCTTTCTACTGTTTTTTAATATTTAGACATTGTAAATTTCATGTGCAAATGTCTGCCTTATTATTTGAAAACTGATGTTTTTGCAATTGATTATAGCATTGTCTGTGAAATATTTATTTGCGAATTGACATCCCATAAATTGTGATGATTCCATATTCTTGAATTTGTATAAGAATTTTTCTATACGTATTAGATTGGCAATTATGCTAGAATGTCTTTACGAAAATCTACCTTTCTAAATTTGAGCCCAAAATATTTAATTGGTTATTTTTGAAATGTTATTGAAAGTGACTGTTATTAATGGTTTCAGTGAAATTCATATTAATGATTTCAGTGATATGTTGAGTACATGATATTGTTGCTTTCGAATGTTTAAAGAGATTTAAAAATATTTTAAGTATATGCAAGTGGACTCATCCGGTTCGCCGGTGAGGTTTAATTCGACCTATTCGGGACGCCGGTAGGGATTAAGTGGACTCATCCGGTACGTCGGTGAGGTATAAGTGGACTTGCAGGGATTAAGTGGACCTATATGAGATGTCGATAGGGATTAAGTGGACCCATCAAGACGCTGATGGGTAATATAAGTGACCTACTTGGGACGCCGTAGGGTATTTTGTGAAATCCTTTGAATTATGCACTGCCGTTGCAATGTTATATGCATTTCAATTATTCGGATTATACTTAATTATGCATTTTTGGAAGTGAAACTGTTACTGCATTTCTGTTAATAGATCTCCTTTTTGGAAATATTGATATCTTTCAACCATGATTATTTTTAGGATTATGATGAGCACTTACTGAGTAGCCAAACTCATCAAACTATGGTAAATATTTTTCAGAATAACTGCGGTTTCATTTGAGTGCTCGTCAGGATCCACTTTGGGAAGATATTGTAGTTGTGCTTAAACTTTTTTTTGTTACTTTTCAAAAATTCGCCATCGTAATTTTGTCTTAAAAAGAGATGTATATATATGTTTTGACTGTGACATCTCAGGAATATCAGTATTGTAAATTCTTGGGGTGTGACAATTATGGTATCGGAGCAATAGGTTTAAGATTCTTAGGAAATTTAAAAATCTTTTTCAATAATCAGGTACACAAATTTAGAGCACTAAATTTCTTTAAGGGGGGAAGAATGTAACAATCTTAAACTTTTTTTTAAAAAAAAAAAAAGAAGAAGAAAAGAAACTTTTAATACATGATGATTCTTTTGAACATGATGGTCCTTAGGGACCATCGCTACTTTTAAAAGCTTTTGGTTTAAAAGCTTTGTTGCTTCTTTGCTCTTGCCACGTCCACTAAAGGACGTGGGCTTTAGGCGTTTAAAGCGTATTTTAACGCTTACACCTGTAACGTAATAAAAGAATAAAATAATATGTTAGTAGAAATTAAATTGCTCACACCTGTAACGTAATAAAAGAATAAAATAATATGTTAGTAGAAATTAAATTTAGAGAGGTGAAGACTCCTACCTTAGAAAACTTATAAGATTTTTTTCTCTCTCTTGTCGAAACACAGTGAACTTCTCTGTCTAGCTGAATTTTTATCGGAAGCTCCCTCTCAAATATTTTATGTATAAGTGACATCATCTTTTTGAAATATAGCCTGTTTCTAATAAAGAGTGATATTTTCGTCTAGGATCTTTATTTTATAATTTTTGTGTGTAAGTGATTTCATTTTCTTGAAAAATAATCCGTTCTTTTTAAAAACGAAATGAAATAATTACTTCTGCTTATTATTATGAATTTTAGGCGCGATAAATTTTATGCTCAAGCGACCTCATTAATTTGAAAAATAATCCTTTTAATAAAATTGTGATATTTTAGCTATGTTAGAAATTTTAAATGCTGTAAATTATTAGAAATAAATTTATTTATTTTTCTGGTCTATTGTTAGAAAATTTTAAATACTGTAAAATTATTAGAAATAAATGTGATATTTCTGCTGTTAGTAAAATTGTGAGAATTCTTTCTGCTATTTTTGAATATTTAGACATTGTAAATTTCATGTGCAAATGACAGTCTTATTATTTGAAAACTGATATTTTTGCAATTGATTATAGCATTGTCTGTGAAATATTTATTTGCGAATTGACATCCCATAAAATGTGATGATTCCGTATTCTTGAATTTCTATAAGAATTTTTATATACATATTAGATTGGCAATTATGCTAGAATGTCTTTACGAACAACTACCTTTCTAAATTTGAGCCCAAAATATTTGATTGGTTATTTTTGAAATGTTATTGAAAGTGACTGTTATTAATGGTTTCAATGAAATTCATGTTAATGATTTTAGTGATATGTTGAGTACATGATATTGCTGCTTTCTAATGTTTAAAGAGATTTAAAAATATTTTAAGTATATGCAAGTGGACTCATCCGGTTCGCCGGTGAGTTATAAGGGGACCTATTCGGGACGCCGGTAGAGATTAAGTGAACTCATCCGGTACGTCGGTGAGGTATAAGTGGACATGCAGGGATTAAGTGGACCTATCTGGGATGTCGATAGGGATTAAGTGGACCCATCAAGACGCTGATGGGGTATATAAGTGACCTACTTAGGACGCCAGTAGGGTATTTTGTGAAATCCTTTGAATTATGCACTGCCATTAAAATGTTATATGCATTTCAATTATTCGGATTATACTTAATTATGCATTTTTGGAAGTGAAACTGTTAATGCATTTCTGTTAATAGATCTCTTTTTTGGAAATATTGATATCTTTCAACTATGATTATTTTTAGGATTATGATGATCACTTACTGAGTAGCCAAACTCATTAAAATATGGTAAACATTTTTCAGGATAACTGCAGTTTCATTTGAGTGCTCGTCAGGATCAACTTTGGGAAGATATTATAGCTATGCTTAAAATTTCTTTTGTTACTTTTTAAAAATTCGCCATTGTAAATTTCTCCTAAAAAGAGATGTATATGTTTTGACTGCCACATCTCAGGAATATCAGTATTGTAAATTCTTTGGGTGTGACAGAGATCCAACGTTTTCAGCAAGAAAAATCTAAGTTTCCATGAGACTTTCTTCTCCCTTTTGCACCAGCTGATAACTTTCAAAGAGTCCCCTTCTACAATATACCTCATCCCAAAATTCTTATCCTTGAAGAGACAAAGACCCTGAACAAGAGCATAAAACTCAGCAAGGTTCGATGTCTTTACCCCTAAAGGCC